AAACACTTTTGCCGAAGAGCTTCCTCAAAAACGAAATGAAGAAACAGAACCCCTCCTAAATGATGCAGAAATTATTTGTGATAATACCTGAAAAACATGTAACATGAGTACATTAACATAAGGCAATCCAGAATAAGGGTCGTAGTAGATTTGATCAATAAGGTAAACACCATTTTCCACAACTGAACAGCGAGAAGTACCTCTTAAAACAAAATTTGTCGTCTTTTCTTTCCAACCAAAAAGGAAAAACAAGAACAGGTCAAACGAAACAACCCATAAGGTTTTGTCCTCTTTAGGTTTTTCACTTCGACAGATTTCCACACCTTATAAAAAATGTTTAGTTCTCCTCTCCAACCAATATGGGATCTCATAATCTACTTCCCCTTCAAGGCTAGCATCCTCGCACTCGTTCCCTTCTCCAATCAATGTGGGACCCCTCAGTCCACCACCTTCAAGGCCCAGCGTCTTTTCTAACAAGGCTCACGATGTCTGGCTTTAATACTATTTATAACTGTTTAAGCCCACCTAGCAGATATTGTCTTTTTGGGTTTTTCCTTTCGGGCTTCCTCTTAAAGTTTTTAAAATGCTTCTACTATCGAGAGGCTCTAGCCCTACTTTGACCAGTATCTCACCATCTGATGACTGACTCTGATACCATTTATAATGACTCAAACTCACTATCTGCTAGCAGTAGCCTTGGCCATACACAAATATAAGCAATTGAACCACTACAGTCTCTGAACTAAACAAGCAGGAGATGAAGTACTCAAATAACTCCGCAAGAACATCATTCATCATAAAAAAAAAAAAAAACAAGGAAACGGCACATAGGGATAGAAAAAAAGACGTAATCGTTCTTGCATTTTCGAAGTGGACTACTTCGTAATTCAAACAGATTGGCGCACACATAGAGATACAGAAGGGAAGAGAGAAATTGTACTCCATAAGAAGGCGTTTGAATCAGAGATTTAGTGGCTTCCTTGCACTTCAATGCCGAAGAGCCAGCGGCAAACGACGAGATCGGCGGCATATTAGCCTCAATTATTTTGCAGAGCCTCTTGTTCTTCATCCTCGGAGCGATAGGAAGCATGAGAGAGTAAACTAATGTTTTTCATTTTTGTAAAAATGACGCATGTTATTCCTTTGGGGAATTAAACTTTAAATATTTTGAAAATTAACGCGGAATAATTCTAAATATCAATATTTAAATTACGAACTTTTTTTTTTGTTAAAAATAAATTAGGTTCTAAAAAATATTAAAAAAAAAATCGACTATTTAGACCATATTCTTTTTTTCATCAAAGTTATAATTTAATCATCTTTTTATAATATTTCACTTAGTCAATAATTTATGGGTTTTTTCAAGTATATTATATTGAACGATTAGATCACAAGGATCATGATCGGAAATTGTTTGATTATCTTATTTTGATTCTCGAATAATTCATATCACTTAAGCTTCTACTATAACACAAAATATTTGCAATTCATCTTCGTTTAGTTTGACAAATAGACGTTTTTACTTGTAACAGTTGTTTTCGTTTAGCTAATATAAAAGCTAAGCGATAATAATTGAAGGTTTGGTCTTCGGTCTACCATTCCAAAGTAAATGCCTAACTAGCATGGTAACAAGACTGAGGAAGATACTAGCTAGTGAAGCCTAGAAAGCTTGTTGCATGATCAATCAAGCTAAGTTAAGAGGTCGTCCTTCCATCAATCAAGCAACTAACCAATCGATTTCAAAGCAAAGAGTATAGGCTTGCAAATGAGTTTCACACTATTTTCAACCGATCCCTAATCTCCTAATCTTTTCTTTAGAACGAAGCTGAAGTACACCAAAAAAAAATAAAAGAGGTGGGATCATAGGTGAAGACAGTCCACCCAAAAAAAAATAAAAGAGTTGAGATCGTAGGTGAAGATGGGCGATATTTTAATAAGTAAATTAACGTCTGGTATGAATGGAAAGATAGCATCCATGGGCCATCTCAGGATCTCATTTGCTCATGCTCTACCAGTCAAATGTGCAACAACAACTTGTTTATTGTCTTTCACAATCTCTCTTCCACACCAACAAAGGGAAAGGAAGAGAACAAGAAAAAAAGCTGTTCTACAGAACAAATTCCTGAGAAGTAGAAAGCAGAACTCATCATGTAAGAGTGGAAGCTTTCATAGAACACATAAAAATTTCCAAACCTAAAAGGAAACTTGATGATCATCATCATCCTAAGGGTCTGCCAAGCACAGCAGCACTTATCTAAGCTTACCCAAAACCACCGCTTATAGGGAAGAGGTAACTTTGAGCAAAGACTGAGCTTGAATCGGCGACAGATTAGTTTGGCAAAAGCTTTGCCAAGCCTCCTGTTTCTCTTCCTCGTTTGCCGTGAATGCTTTGAACACTCCCATCACGATACTCCGAGCTGCTTCCCTTGCCTCAGGTAGCCTATCGTTTAGCAAATCTGCAGCCATTTGAAGCAATGGGACAATCCCATATTGGTTCATTTCTTCCAGGTCCTTGAAGAAATTGGCAGCAACCCATGTTAAAATTCATCAGTTCAGTCCAGTTTTTGAACAAAAATGAGAAGAATCAAGGCAATACGCAAGAATTTTTGTACCATCTTAGAGACACAATTGGAGATTGGAATGGCGGCTTTGGCTCTGACTCTTAGGTTTGAATGGGAGACATACGGCTTAAGCTTTTGCAGCAGAGGCAGAGCAGTCATGGATTTCACTAGAGCTTTCAGTGCCTTGTCTGCTTCTTCACACACAAATTTCTTGTCCTGAGAAGCTTTGAGCAGTAATTGGAGCAGCTGAAGATCCAATGGAAGTCCATATCAGCGTTTCTTACAATCAAAACTTGCTTAATCACATCTAAAAAGTCTATCAAAATTCTTAGCCCAATTCCAAGAAAAAAATTGTAAGAACTTCTTCAAAACTTGATTTGAAGATAGTTTTTGAAGAACTAAATGATTATCCAACAGATCCAGAAGGACACACTGCATTAGCTGCTCATAATAATGTTCACAAAAGGAAAAGACTGAAGAAACTCAATTGCATGCTCTCACCAATTGATCAAATGCATTGGTAGTGTGTGTTTCGAGTAACAGATCACCAAATGCGTTGAAAATGTCAGACGAAGCCATGATCGAGGTCTTAATTAGGGCACTTCTAGGGTTTTTCATCGATTTCATCAGAATCGCTATAACTTTCTCTCTGTAATTCATCAAAATAAGAAAATTCATCGCCAGAATTTCATAACCCTAGAATTTCAAAATAAGAGTATTCTACTTACAACGAAGGGAGCAAAATGTCGGAGTGAAAAATCGCGAGACGTCTAGCATTATTGAGCGATTCACAGACTTTCACCCAATCCTTCGAATCTAATTCTTCAATGAAATTCTAACACAATAAAGAAAAAAAGAACAGACCAAAAATCAGATCTAGAAACAAACAAGAAATTCAGATACAAAGAGGAAATGAGTATAGTTACATTAGAATCAGGGTCCGTCAAGGGCTTCAGATTCTCAGAAGAAACATAATCAATGGCAGCATCAGTAGAAGGAGGAACCGGAGCCTGATTCTCATCGTTTACACCGGAATCGCTTCGCTTCTGGACTGGAACGGCCACTTTCGCTTGTTTCTTCGGCCGTTCTGGTGTAACCGGCAGTGCGTTATCAATGGGTCTTAGAGCCATGGCCATGGTGATTGGTGAAGACTGAGGAGAATTACAGAGAGGGGAAATGAAGAAGGTCGGATTGAAATGGAGAGAGGCTGAAGGATGATCTTTAATGGTTGAAAAAAGTGGGAGTTACCCTTTTAGGTTTCAGAAATTTGAAATTTGAATGGCGCCGTTGGAAAGAGACGTTGGAACTGGGTGGTCTTTCTCCAACGGCTCGTAATTAGTTGGAGTTGAGAAACCAGCTTGCCGAATTCAACGCGATACGTCGTCGTTTAGCCTTATCAGTCGACGCCACGTCATTTTGGATCGTTATTTAAAAAAAAGTAACTTTTATTCTTTTATAAGACTTATTTATTGAATTTTTTTTCACGATCAAATTTATAAAAATTAAGTTAAAAATATATATATATATATTAAATATATTATATTTTATTAATAAACTTTTATTTTATATAAAAATTCTAATATACATCCATTAATCAGAAGGAAAAAGAACATTATAAAATGAGCCTACAATATTGGCAAAACTTGAACAACTCAAATGGAATTCTTGCTACCATTAATTGAATTGAATGTATCTGGAAAAAGAAAATTAGCTTAGCTATCATGCTACTAAGTTCGGCACTCGAGAGTTTCAAAGTCGAGAACCAAAATCACGAGCCTGAAGTCCCGAACGAACCAAACCAATAGCTAACAAGACTGAGAGAGATACGTCATCTCGAAACGCCATGAATGAAGACTTGCA